GTTTCTTTTTCTTGTTTTTTGGGGCTATACGTACAGACGTCCCATGCTAAGCCTGTGATGTGAGGTAAAAAAAATTACTCCTCTTCAAATCCAGTTGATGATGATAGCCACCAAGATCATCACCGAGGCTTACGAGTACCGTTCCTGTTCTCTGCTCTCCATCTTTTGAGGCATGGTAACCTGTTGAGATTGTATAGCTCTCACTATTTGTTAATATTTTCTTCTTGGGTTTCCTCAACTCTTGTATGTGTATATAACAAGGCGATGGTGTTAGATACCAACATGTTGTTACTATTTTGGTATTTCCTAATTCTTAGTTTATTATTGCTTACTCTTGGGGGGATATTATGGTATATGACTTTGTCCCTACTTTGCCTCAGACAGCTTGAAATGTACAGTTCTCATTCTCATTACTAAATTTGACCGACTGAACAAAAAACTTGTGTTGTCGCGCTGTCAGCAACCGGAGAAGAGGAAGGAGAGGGCGAAATGCAAGTTCATGTTGCATGTTTCAGGAGGAAGCTGAAGCTTCCAGCATGGCATCCGGTCACATACTAGAGCCCGGCTGATGCGTGGGTGATTAGGAACGGAATTAAGTGATGATTAGAAGGTGTGTGCATGCATAAGACCCTGCTTAGTTCCATTTGCCATGACAAAAGATTAGCTCCTAAATATTTGCTGCTAAACTTTAGTTTTGTTTGAGGTGTTTAGATTCACTGAAAAAGTTTGGGCTAAAAGTGCAAAATAAGGAGTCCTTCACACCCCCAATGTTGTGATAACTGGCAAAAGCAGGTTAAGCCGTTAATTAGACAAGCGAGTCGTTGTAGTATAGTGGTGAGTATTCCCGCCTGTCACGCGGGTGACCCGGGTTCGATCCCCGGCAACGGCGCTTTCTTTTGCCTTTTTTTTAAAAAAAAAGGATCTCTCTCATGTAGGATTCTCATCTGGGCCTGGACTCCCTGTACCTAATAAGCTTTCACGACCTGGGCCCGACGGCCCGTCCGTCTGCTCGTGTGTGCCCCGCCATAGTCTTTTTCAAGATCATCCTATACCCACAAAAGCTCTCCCCTCAAAAAAAAAACCCCCACAAAAGCGCACATGCATCCAAATCCATTTATAGTTCTGGTATTAACATTCTCTGTGCTACCGAATTAACTATTCGTTGTTCCTAGTCCCTCCGGATCAGACAATGTCAACCTATTATGTTATTATTATACTGTCTCCATTTAAATTTATAGGTTCTTTTAGTTTTGTTAGAAGTCAAAACCGATGGAATAAAAATTACCTTTTTTCTAAAAAGAAAAAGTCTGCATAATCCCCTGACGTTTTTAGAGTGGTCTACATGACCCCCTGAACTATAAAACCATTTTCATAAAAAAAACTATAAATCAGGTATTGTGCACATTAAACTTTGTGAAACCGAGTAAATAACCCCTGAGACGGTACTGGGAGGTGGTTTTGCTGATGTGGTGATCTACATTGGCTGGCTTTGATGACATGGCGTCTAGGCCCGCGCCCTCCAAGTTTCCGAGGCAAACTAGGTAAAGTTATTCCCAAGTTTTCTGCCCTTGGTAAAATCATTTTTTTCTGTACTATTGCTATACACCTGAATCAGACTGCTTATAGCTACCTTGAAAATGATTTGTCATACGGTACCGTTACCACAACCACAGTCTTCAAGACCCTACTGTGACGATTTCCACCACTTCGAGTCGGGGATATGCAGCCTGTTCGGTTGGCTGGTTCGTTTATATGAGAGAGAAGTACTGCTGGCTGGTTCATGTAAACAGTATCCATGTGAGGGGGCTGGCCAGCCCAGCCAGCCAGCCAGCCCCAACCGAACACGGCGATGGTCAGACTCAAGTGCTAATAATTGGCTAGTGTGCTTCCCCATCTCTTTAAGCATGCCAATATATATAATTCTGCTGAGTAGTGCTAATTGCTGATGCTCTGTTTGTTTCGCTGAAAAATCAGGTTGAAAAATACTATTTGCTGATTTACTGTGAGAAAAAAAATATTGTCCCAGGCTGATAAGTTCAAGCAAACTGCGCCGTAAGAACGAACGAGCTTGGTGCTCCTATCCAATTATGGATTTCATGTTTGCTTTTTTTTTAATCAATTTCATGTTTCCTTCCAATGAAGCCCACACGGGCCCACGCACCAGTAGCCTAGCTTCCCGGCAGACCCACAGCCCAGTACCAGCAAAAGCAACCGCACCACGGCCCAGCTCTCATAAACTCCACCTGGCTCCTCGCGACCCGCCCGCCGCCGCAGCTCTCCTCCGTCCGCGCCAGGCGGCGGCCGTCACCCACCCTCCCTCTAGACCAGCGCAGCGACCGTCACCGACTCGCCGCCGGCCGCCCGGCGCCGGCGGAGGCCAGGATGGCATTCATCGCCAGAGGTGCAGGATCCTCCTCCGCATTTATTTGTTGTCGGTTTTCGCTCTTGTTTGATTGTAGTTGCACACCAAAAAAAATTCTCATTTGAAAATGTATGTTAGGTGAAATGCTGAATCTGGCATCCGTAAAAAGAGGGGTATACGTACATAGCTCCCAGCTGGAGATCCACTGTCAAAAGCAGCATTACTAGTATTTTGTTTTTCCCTGTTCAAGTTTGAATTATGCGCCTCCAGTATTTTCGGTCACCTCCTTTTCGTATTTTGGATGCATCTGCACTCAACTCACATGATTGAGACGGAGAAGAAAACCAGACGGATTCCCACTGATTTTTCCAAAATGATGTTATTAGCCAGCTGCTTCCGAGCAATCACATCACATCATTACCGAATCTCGTATGTGAATGCCTTCTGGTTTCTTTGTGAATGCACGATGCCTTCAGGGCGTATTGAAAAATGCCTTTTTCTCCCAACTGTATATGCACAGTGCTGATTGGTAGTAGCAGAAATAGATGGGTCCCTAGTGATTTTGACAAATGATGTTGTTAGATACCAAGATTTGGCTACTATTTTGGCAGTACTCCTATTTCCTATAATTCAGTTTTGCAGCCTCTTAATTACTAGATGTGATTGACTGACCAAAAGCTTGTGCTGTCGATGTCAGCAACTGGAGAAGAGGAATGAGAAGGCGCAGGTTCAGGTTGCATGTTACAGGAGGAAGCTGCTGGCCAAGCTTCCAGCATGGCATCCGGTTTGCATACTAGAACCTGGCTGTGGGTGGTTAGGAACGGAATTAAGTGATGCTTCTAGATAGTCTGTGCTGTGAAGTTTCTTCTCAATTATATGGAAGTCAGCAATGGTTCCCTGTCTCTTTGGACCTAGCTTGTATTAAAAATACAGGGAGGTCAGCCAGGCACGAGTCAATTCATATTTCCTAAACTAAACCCTCTGTTGCATTGGAAGGAGATGCAGGGTTTCAAAACCCTGATTTCAGCACAAAGGCTTCAGTAAGCAGTTGATGTGCTGATGCTTGTTCCTTTCTTTTCAGGAATGGCTGATGAACACTGACATATATCAGAGCAAGACCTGACCAAAGCTTGTCTAGTTTCTACTTTCTAGGACCCAAAAGATTGAAGCGTGTTCTGAACTGTCGATTTATCTTACTCGATTGACTATGCCTGCAGGACGCAAATATTTCGTTTATGAACACCGGCCGTCCGATGTGAGTTATGCGGCCTGGATCAGACCAATGGCAGAGGCCCCGGCAAAGGGAGAAGCTGAGGACGGCTGCTCACTTGGCCAACCAAGTTGCTGACTGTCAAAGCATGATTATCGTTTTTATGTGGTGTTGGTGGTCTGCACGCAATAAAATCAATGCAGGGGAGAAGGTAAAAACAGCTCAACAAATAGTCAGTGATGTACTTTTTCATTTGCAGGCATGGAGGGATGCAGTCAGTACTGAAAAAAAGAGTTGCAATTCCAGGCTGCAAATCAAAATGGCAAGATTAATTGCGATGCAGCTTACAGTCCGTGCTCACGCAAATCTGGGTGGGGTTTCGTCATAAGAAACCACTGTTGCTGCAGGTAGCGGATCAGCGGATTTCCTAATGTGTCCAGCATGCTGAAGCCATCGCCTGCATTGAAGGCCTGGAGTTTGCATCTACGCTAGGGATGAGAAGGATCATAGTAGAAACTGATGCTGCTCTTGTAGCAAAACTGCTATCTAATCCGACTTATGACAGATCAGTTCTAGGCCCTCTAATAGGAGAGATTAGAATCTTAATGTATAATAACTTTTCTGAATGTTCTGTCTCTCATGTTTCCAGAGTGTGTAACGTTGTTGCTGACACTCTGGCGGCTATGGGCCTCAATTGTAATGATGATGGTCCTCGGCTTTGGCAAGAACAAATGCCAGACTTTGTAACTTTGTTGGTGTCCAGTGACTTAACTGGACCAAGTGTTTAATGGTATATTGTTTTCCTTTCAAAAAAAAAAAGTACAACCTGCATTCTGCAACTACTAGCAACAGCACGAGGCAGAGTGCAGCAACAGCATCTGCAAAATTGGCAGCTGCAGCTAGCATTAGCAGCGGTCTGTATCGCATTCTCACGGTCACAAATTGTGACCTACCTCGTTCTAGGTACGATTCAAGCCATGAAACAACAACAGTTAACACACAATCTTCAATCCATACATGTCAAACTTTAATCTTTACTGATAATATTTACAATATTTCAGAAGGCCAAATGCTTCAACAGTTCTGAAACTACATATCATTACCCCTTTTTCTCATCAATCATGCAGGAAAAGAAGTAATCTCGCTCAAATGTTATGTAGTTGCAGAACTGTTGAAGCATTCAGTTTTTTTTTTTCACCTTTTTTTTTCTTTTTTTCTATATTTTTCCTTTTTTAGAGGAAGCATTCATCTACCTAGAATGTTATGCATCAGTAAAAACTTGGTGGAGTGGAGGCTGCTGAGGAGATAAAATTGATGGCACCTCCTTACCACAGCTACTACCCCCTTTGGCTTTGCAGGGGGACGACCTAGCTATCAGCCCATCAGTTCTTCTTAGGTAAGTATTTAGGCATTGAGCGCCTTGTCTTCCTAGTAAGAAGGCGGTCGGAGTTCCCTTAGGCGTCGAACAACATGCTTCATTGTGGGCCTAGAAGCAAGAGACTCCTGCGTGCACCGGACCGCCAGGTTCAGGAACTCAACCAGATCATCATGTGGGGCCTTCTCCCACAAGCCTTCGATGAAGAACTCGCGAACCCTGCCTCTCTGGATAAGCCTCACGGCCCAGCTGACAATGTTGAAACCATTTCCATATGGCGAAAATGATGGGTCCAGTGCTTTCTTGTCTGAAATCAGCTCCAGCAGCACAACTCCGTAGCTGTAGACATCTGCCTTGTCAGACACGCGGCATGACATTGCATACTCAGGAGCCACATAACCAAAAGTACCAGCAACATCCGTTGTCGCATGCGTTTCTGAGTTCCCGGAGAAACCTCGCCAATCCAAAATCAGAAAGGTAGGCGTTGCATTCATTGTCGAGCAATATGTTGTTTGGCTTGACATCCCGGTGCAGAATGCGGGGGACGCATTCATCATGCATGTACGCAAGCGCACGAGCAACATCCAGAGCAATCTTGTGAAGCCTTCTCCAGCTGATTGGCCTCTTACCCCTCTCCTGTATGAACCTTTCCAGGTTGCCACCTGGCAGATAGTTGTATATCAGAAACATCTCCGACTCGCTGATGTTGTACCCCAAGAGAGTGACAAGATGAGGATGACGGCATTGCCCGAGGATCCTCACTTCTGCTTGGAACTCCTTGTCGCCATGCTGCTTCCCAATAGCAAGCTTCTTTATTGCCACAAGAACTCCAGGTGCCACCTCGGCTCTGTATGTCGGGCCAAAGCCGCCGTTGCCAATGCAGTTGCTAGCATTGAAATTCCCAGTGGCGTGGACAACAGCCTCATATGTCAGGGGGGGCTCCAATTTCAACATCGGCGAAAACCTTGACTTCCCTTGTCCTAACAGAGCGCTTTGATGGTCTCAGAGGCCATTTCCTTGTGCAGATGCACAGGGCAAGTGCAACTAACAGAACCACGACAATGGCTGATGCTGCAGCTATGGCAGCAATCTCTTTGATTCCCAAGCCACCATCACCATTGCTGCCACTGCTGCTGGTGCTGCCATTAGAAGTGCCCAGCCTTATCTCAGTCAGCTGACGGATAATTGTTGGTATAGGAGAAACAGGAAGCAGTTCACCAGTAACTGAATGTGCAGTAACTACATGAACTGGTGAGACGGCATCAACAGCATTAACAGCTGCAGCAGTTGTCTCTTCCTCAGATAGTTTGTTGTTCCTCAGATCAACAGGAACCTCGCCTGATAGAGAATTGTTGGTCAGATTAAGAAATTCCAGTAACCCGAGCTGGCTCAAACAGGAAGGTATCTCACCGCTGAAATTGTTGCCGGATAACGAGAGAAATTTTAGGCTCTTGAGCTCCACGAGGCCTGAGGGCAGCCGGCCGTGGAGCAAGTTCCCGCTGAGATCCATCCGGACGAGGCCCGTGCAGTGGAGGAGCTCCGGCGGCACGCCGCCGGTGAGCCTGTTCCTGGACAGGTCCAGAACCCGGAGACGCGCGAGCTCCCCAATCCGCGGCGGGATGGTGCCGTCCAAGGAATTGGAGGACAGCCGCAGGCGCCGGAGAGCCGCGCAGCTCCCCAGCGCCGGCGGGATTGACCCGCTCAGCCGGTTCCCGGAAAGGTCCAAGCTTTTCAGCCCTTCCGGGAAGGTGGCCGGCAGGCGGCCACGGAGGGAGTTGCCGGCGAGGTTGAGCACCTGGAGGCGCCGCAGCCGCCAGAGGTGCGGAGGAATCTCGCCGCGGAGCCCCGCCGAGGGAAAGGAGAGCGCTTTGAGCTCGGTGAGGCGAGCGACCGCCGGGGACAGCTCCCCGCCGAGGCGGCCGCCGAGCGCGAGGGCCACGACGCGGCCGGACCGCGCGTCGCAGGTGACCCCCGGCCAGGAGCAGTGGTGGGCGCCAGACTCCGGCGACCACTGGCGGAGAGCGTCGCCGGCGCCGGAGGTGAGGGCGCGCTTGAGGTGGAGCAGCGCCGGCATGTCGTCCTGCTGCTGCTCCGGCAGGGATGACGGCGAGGACGCGACGGAGGCGGTGACGAGGAGGAGGTGAAGAGCGAAGAGGACGGCGGTGGTGGCGGAGCGGCGGAGGAAGGCCATCTCCGCTCTCCGGCCAGTTGCCGACGAGGACACGGACCTGGACCTCCTCGAAGCGCCAAGCGGGACGGGAGCGGTGGTGGGGAGCTTTGTCTGTCAGTGGCGACCGAGTGACTCCCGAGTCTGCCGACTGCCTGTCGATGGACTCGGAGACTAGTACTGGTACACGCTGTGGGACCCACGCTAGGGGCTGAACTTTCATAGGCCGGGAACGGAGGACCGTCGAGTGATTTTCAGGAAATGCGAGGGGCAGAGTGCGACGGATGTTCGGCTTTGTGGTGTTCAATCGTTTCATTGCCGCGTCGCCGGCTTCCTGGCGGCTGCTGGCGTCGTCCTTCTCTGTTCAACGCATTCACCTGCTGTGACTTGGTGTTTTACTTTTCGTTGCTTGGTCATGGTCACCCATTTTGGGAATTCCATCGTAGTTTGAGAATTTACTGAGGTGGAAGGAATTGTAATCATTTTGGTTCTGGCCTAATCATTTTTTTTTTTTGGAAAATATGATTGTCAATTCGTTTGTTAGATGCTATAGACTAATTTTTCACATTGGTGTCAAGAATGGCTAGTTTGTATGAGTTAAAAGTGGAATAACTGTCTTGGCGCGAAATTTAGTATACTCAAATGATACAAAAAAAAAATAGCCTATGTTTTTCTAGATGCCGCGGTCCAATAGTGTCGCCCCATAAACTTGAAGCCCAAACCGTACCACTGCGACAAAGCAACCTCTTATCATGAGGCTATGGACTTAGTCAACCCAGCCTGGGAGATCACGGCTCATTAACGGCCCACTTGATGCGTGAGATATAAGATGGGCGTGTGAGCCCACGAGGAAATTGTCCATTTTCGTTACGAGCGACATAATGAATCAGGAGAGAAGAAGCTAGGGTGGATATGGTGTGGAATCTTGACATTGGTTAGGATGAATTAACTACCCATAAATCTTGAGATGCATTGTTATTCTATATTTTCTTGATTGACATTTAGCAATTGAAATAGTTGGTCATCATATTATTGCTTACATTCTCCAATATTGGAAGACTTTTGTTACAAGGAGTTAGCCTATCGAGGAAGCTCCAGAAGCACGTATTGTAGTTTTGACATCCATTTTCTTTGATTAAGCTCGATCGCCTTCCATCCATATAAAGTCCATGGTAATTAAGAATTTTTTTTCAATATGATTCAAAGCATGTGTGGCGCAACTAGGTCATAGTAAGGAAAACTTATAATTCTTTCATGTGAAATTCTTTCACTCCAAAAATGTCTAAGGTTGACGAGCATAAATAAAATGCTATGATTCATTTTTATTATATTTTACGAAGTTCTTGCTTAGGCAACATCAAAATGACTAGTATGAGAAGGAACTAATAAGAGCAAAACCAAGGGTAAATCTAGAATAAAGCTTATTAGGGACAATGAAGTGAACCTTTGGCCCTTCAACCCTATTATTTTTCTAATTTTCTTGTCAACCCCTTCATCCTCTTAGTCCCAAGGAGGGTCTCAAATGCAATTTATTTGCCTAGCCTCATTACGAGCGCTACCTTTTGTGTTGAGTATGCAGGCCATGCAACAAAAAGATAAATAATTAATTATATTTCCATGTGTGGAGCAACACTTGGCAAGGGTTACACATAACTTACATGCGACTCCATGTTAGTGGTGCATGGGCCGTCGGACAAACTACCTCACTAAGCGGTGGTGTCTTTTTTTTATTCGGAAGATATTGGTGGCTTGCACTCAAATAGCATTAGTGCATTTTCTTTGATTCGAGGACATATATCTCTCGACAAGCGGTCTAGAGATATATCTTTTTTTGTTTTGGGTAGTTAGGCCATATATACGACAGAAACAAATTATTATTAGTTTCGCTACGAAGAGTAACACTTGCATGAGTTACACGTAGCTTGCATGCATAACTGCACGTTGTTTATGGTTGTGGGACACTACCTCAAGCGGTGGTGCCTTTTCTTTATTTCTAGAATATGTTGGTGACTTCATTTAATTCCTCATGCATTTTTGTTCATTTCTTCTGTATTTCTCTCACCTAAGTGTCCACTTGTCCATCGTCTCATGTTATTCGAACAACTTTGTAAACTATATTTTAATAAATAATAGTTTAAACTTCTAGGATACACCACATTTCCAAGCAACACATCTTGAACATTGATAGCACTATGGAGACACCAACTTTTCGTCTAGATGACCCTCGGCAACTATTTTTAATAAATAATAAATTAAACTCCTAGGATACATCACCTTTCCAAGCAACACATCTTGAACATTGATAGCACCATGGAGACACTAACTTTTCATCTAGGCGACCGTCGGCAACTATTTTGAATAAATAATATTTTAAACTCCTAGGACACACCACATTTCCAAGCAACACATCTTGAACATTGATAGCACCATAGAGACACCAACGTTTCCTTATTTTACTTCACTCATTTAAGCAATTGCGGGTAGAAGTAAACTCCCCGATGTCTTATGTTACAAGGATAACATTATAGACCAAATCCTTTTTCAGAAAACCATTATAGACTATGTCTTTCCCCCACGTTCTTAAAAACTAGGATATGCATACATTTATTCATACATCATGTAGCCTCTGATCGATAGCATATATTAGTTTTGCTTCATGTACCCTGCAACCCAACTTGCATAGATTACATGTAGCATAAAGTGGGGCTATGTGATACACCACCTCTTTCTAAAACGGTGGTATCTTCATATAATAATCAAATTTGTCTCTTCCTTGTTCATTTCTCCTTTACGCAAGTGTTAAGATAGTGATAAAACTTGTCTACGCCGTATGCCTTATAAATAATTTTACAAACTATTATTTAAAAAAACAATAATATTATAGTCATACATAACACACACCACCTCGCCAAGCGGCAGCAGTGTTCGCCAACAATATGTTTGTACCACACCCACACTCTTGAGCCACCGATTTCGTCTCATTCTTCTTTACATGGCTTACAATTAATTGCTACGGATAAAAGTTCTCCATGTCTTTTGTTCTTGGACGATGCTATAGACCAAACAATTTTTGAGAAAACAATTATGGAACATACCTTTCCCTAACACTAATTCTTAGCACAGAGGATATACAATACATGAGTTCGTTGCCAACAAAAATTACAGGACATGCATGATAACAGAGAGGTTAAGAGCTCAAGATTATTCATGCATTTTTGTTCATTTGTTCAGATTTCTCTCACCCACGTGTCCACTTGTCCATCGTCTCATGTTCTTCGAATAACTTTATAAACTATTTTTAATATATAATATTTTAAACTCTTAGGACACACCACCTTTCCAAGCAACACATCTTAAACATAAATAGCACCATAGAAACACCAAATTTTCATCTAGGCGACCGTCAGCAACTATTTTTAATAAATAATATTTTAAACTCCTAGGACACACCACCTTTCCAAGCAACACATCTTGAACATTGATAGCAAAATGGAGCATTGATAGCACCATGGAGACACCGACTTTTCATCTAGGCGACCATCGCTAAGAAGAACTTCGACTTGGAGAACACAATTTTTTTTCTCGCATCCATAAAACAAAAGAACATATTAACACACTTTTTTTTCTTGCGTCCATAAAGCAAAAGAGGATAAGCACATATTGTACGTGCGGTCAATAACCAATAAGAGAAAATCATAAGCATTCACTCTCCTTGCTAGTAAAATGATGCGACGTCGCTTCTCAAGTAAAAAACACATTTAGCATCGATACTAGGTTCATGAGCTGATTATTGCACTTGCCGTTTTCCTGAGCAGAATTCCCCTTTTTTTCATTTTAACTATTAACCTTTTATAAAAAGTAGGTGAAATTTGTATACGAGAGACAAAACTTTTAATTATTTTGTCCTAGTACTCCGTATTCTTAGAAACTAGGATATCCAACATTTATGCATACATATAGCCTCTGATTGATAGAATTAATTAGTTTTTCCTTATGTACTCTAGAACCCCACTTGCATAGGTTACACGTAACCTAGAGTGGTGGGCCTATGTGATACACCGCCTCCCTAAGCGGTGATATCTTCTTATTCAGTTTGATAACACGCCCATAGTTTCCCCTTATAATAATCAAATTTATCTCTTCCTTGTTCATTTCTCCTCTACGCAAGTGTGAAACTAGTGATAAAACTTGTCTACGCAGTATGACTTATAAATAATTTTATAAACTATCTTTTAAAAAGAATGATAATATTATAGACGTACATAACACACCACCTGCGTAAGCGGCGGTGTGTACTCCGACAATATGTTGGAACCACACGCACTCTTGAGACACCGATTTTGTCTCATTCTTCTTCACATGGCTCATAATTAATTGCTAGAGATAAAGTTCTCGATATTTTTTGTTCTTCGATGATGCTATAGACCAAACAATTTTTGAGAAAACAATTATGGACCATACCTTCCCTAACATTCTTAGCACATAGGATTACATACATTTATACATGTCTGAGTTTCTCGTCGACAACAACAAAATGACGGGACATGATAACAGAGAGAGCTTAAGAGCTCGAGATTATCCATCCCGTAATAACAAGTATACAATACAGTACTTTTTTTAAGTGCGCGTGCATGGTTAGTGAGCCACCGTATGTTCATCCATCATATCTATTGTCAGTTTTGTCCTTTCCTTATTTACTTCATTCGCTTGTTTAAACAATTTCTGGTAGAAGTAAACTCCTCGATGCCTTATGTTATAAGGATGATCCAATAGACCAAATCCTTTTCAGAAAACCATTATTGACCATGTTTTTCCTCCACTTTCTTAGAAACTAGGATATCCATACATTTATGCATACATCTTGTGGCCCTTGATCGAAAGAATAATTTTTGCTTTATGTACCCGGCAACCCCACTTGCATAGGTTACACGTAGCATAGAGTGGGCTATGTAATACACCATCTCACTAAGTGGTGGTATTTTCTTATTCGGTTTGATAACAGGCCCATGGTTTCCTCTTATAAT